CCCCAGCCCCCCAATTTGTCCCCCCAGCCCCTCCCTGAGCGTCCCCCGGCCCTCAGGTGTGCGACAAGTGCCGGCAGCGCACGCGCAGCACCAAGAAGTTGACGATCCAGCGCTTCCCACGCATCCTGGTGCTCCGTATCCTTTGGGAATCGCCCCTTCGGGACTCCCCCCCAAAATTTTTCGGGGGGTTCGGGGAGGGGGCACGAGGTTCCCTTGTGGCCTTGACCCTGGGCAGACCTGAACCGGTTCTCCACCACGCGTTACTCCATCAAGAAGTGCTCGGTGTTCGTGGACTTCCCGCTGCAGCAGCTCAACCTGCGCGAGTTCGCCAGCGAGAAGGCGGGTGAGGAGAGCTGCGGGCGGGTTGTTTTTTGGGGGGCTGGGTGGGGAGGGGGGTTTTGGGGCGACCCTCACCTCCCACCTTCCTCCTCGCCGCTGCAGGCAGCCCCGTCTACAGCCTGTACGCGCTGTGCAACCACTCGGGCAGCGTGCACTACGGGCACTACACGGCTTTCTGCCGCGACCCCGCCGGCTGGCGCGTCTACAACGACTCCCGGTCAGTGCCCCCCGCCCCGCCCGCGCCCCCCGCCCCGCCCGGGAGACCCCCGAGCGCCCGCCGCGGGTGCTGAGGGTGTCCCCGCAGCGTCTCGCCCATCAGCGAGAACCAGGTGCCGTCCAGCGAGGGCTACGTGCTGTTCTACGAGCTGGAGGAGCCCCCCGGCCGCAGAGCCTGAGACCCCCGGGACCCCCGAGACCCCCGCCCGGAGCCGCCCGGGGGTCGGGGCTGGGCTGGGGGGGTGAACCCCTGGTGCCCCCGGCCCGGGAGCCCCCCGGACCCCGCGGAGAGGGGGGTGCGGGGGGTGCGGCGGCGGCCGGCGCGGCCCCGGGGGGTTTTGTGAATAAATTTATTAAAAAAAGCCCCAAAAATCGCCGAGTTTTGGGGCTGGGGGTCGTGGCTCGGATGAGGGGGCGTGACTTGGGTTTGATTGACAGCCACGAATGGGCGTGGCTTTATGGGGGCGTGGCTCGTGGGCTCGGGATGATTGATTAGCAATGGGCGTGGTCGCCGTGGCGTGACGCGCACGGCGATTGGCTGGCGGCGAGATGGGCGTGGCTTATTGCCGCGGCGCGCTGTCAATCACCGCGCTGCGCGTTCCCATTGGTCCGGCCATCGCAGCCCCGCCCCTTTTAGCGCTGAGCGGCGCAGGGGGCGTGGCCAGCGCGGCGGCCGCGGCTCCGGTTCGGGGGTCCCGGGGGTCCCGGCGGCTCCGTGCCCGCCGCCGCCGCCGCTGCCGCCATGCCGCCCACCGTGGCCGTGGTGGGCGGCGGCATCAGCGGCCTGGCCGCCTGTTTCCACCTGCTGCGCGCCCCCCGCCCGCCCAAGGTGAGCGTGCGACCCCCGCGGGACCCCCGGGTGTCCCCCCCGCTCCGTCCCGGGACCCCCGACTCCCCCTTCCCTCCCGGGGTCCGGCGCTCCGCTCTGCCGGGTCATCCAGCGCACCTCCGGGAAACCCGTTCCCTTTTCCCTCCCGGGACCCCAATTCCCCCTGACCCCCAATTCCCCCTGACCCCAAATTCCCCCGGGGTTCCCTTTTCCCTCCCGGGACCCCCCAATTCCCCGGAACCCCAAATCCCCAGGACCCGAATTCCCGGTACCCCCATTCCGGCGGGATCCCGGGGTTGATTTGGGGGTCCCGGGGGTGACCGGGGGTGCCGGCGCTGATTTGGGGGTCCCGGGGGTCCCGGCGGTGATTTGAGGGTCCCGACGGTGACCGGGGGTGCCGGCGCTGATTTGGGGGTCCCCAGGTGGTGCTGCTGGAGGCCAGCGGCCGTTTCGGGGGGTGGCTGCAGAGCTCGCGGACCCCCGAGGGCGCCGTGTTCGAGCACGGCCCGAGGGGCGTCCGGCCCGCCGGGCCCGCGGGGACCGAGACCCTGCTCATGGTACGGGGTACGGGGGGGATGGGGGGGGGGGGGGGGGGTCCTGGGGGATTGTGGAAGGCCTTTGGGGCATCCCAGGAGTAATTTTGGGGTGTCAGATATTTTTGGGGAGTCGTGAAGAGCAATC